GGCAGGACTGCCTTTCAGGCACATTCCTGAGCTCCGAAAGGAGAAATAAGTGTTCCCTTGTCTGCGAGCTAAAGAGACAGCAATATTGTGGTGTAACGAGGACCAGATGGGCTTCAGGAATTTCCAAAGCCATTTTAGTGTATTAGACAAAATAGCCTCCCAGCCACACACCACAATTTTGGCCTCCTGGGTATCAGTTACTGGGACGACCTGTGGGCTACACGCACTGGCCAGAATGGAGTGGGCCTCTGGCTGGGCCCCCGGCCACTCCCCCTGGCCCAGTAGGAACCTCCCCCACTTGTGACACCTTCCCAGAGCACCAAGGTCAGGGCACACACCAAGAATCTCCCACTCAGAGTCAGAAAGGGATGTGAAGTCCCAGAAGCTACCTGTCCAGATTGCTCCTTGATGCACCCAAGGGCACCGTCCCTGTGCCGTGCGCTCTATCATCGCACGCAGACACCGTTGCATGGGAATGAAGCCATTTCATATTGCCGGTGCTTGAACTGTGCTTGAACCTGGGAGCATGGCACTGTGTCAGTCGCAATTATGATGAGAATGCCCTCGTTCCCACCTATACCAACTGAGCACTTGCCTGTGCCAGGGCATCTCATGGGGGAGATTGAGAGGCTCAGCGCTTCAGTCAAGGCCTCACAGCAAATCCAGCTGTAACTATTGTGAGACACTGCCTCCCCACCGGCCTAGCTCCTACGTGGAGCAATGCCCCCTGTCTGTCCAGGCCTCTGTTTCCCTATCTGTGCAATAAGAGATTCGACAGTGAGCCATGACGGTCCTTCCCACACTCACCCTCTGGACCCTAATTCTGTCCTCGAATGACTCAGAGACCACATGGAAGCCCCACTTCCACTGACTCACACTGTCCTCTGTAGACTCTGTAGAGGGAGCAGTGAGCCTCAGAGAGGGGATGCCATCTGCCCAGTCACTACTCAGGCTACTGACAAAGGCAGGTTGGAACGCAGGCTGGCCACCTCCAAAATCTGCGTCCTTTCTCCAGCCCCCCCACCCCCAGTAGAGATCACGGCTCCTCCATGAAGGCATGTCAACCATACCCTCACCTTCAGAGCAGCAGGGAAATTCAGACAGTGCTTTGCCACTCAGTCTGATACAGCCTTGGGTGAGTGCTATGCGCTTCTCTGAGCCTCGCTTCCGTCTGTAAAATGAGGCTCCAGGTCCCTGCCCAGGAAGGCTGCTATGAGGGTGAAAAAAAAGGGGGAGCGTGAAGGGTGGTTTGGCTGCTGATGGGGAGGGCTTTCTGAGGTCCTCTGATGCCAGGGCAGTACATGCCACGGGTCCTCCCCCCGCCCGCCCTCACCCCCCATTCAATAGGAAGCTGCCAGGGAAGCCACAAGGCTCGGCTTGCCAGAGGTGTCAGTTTCCTTAATAACCCTCCCCGGGTCTTACTTTCCCCATCTACAGACTGGCAACAGTGACCACCAGCACTGAGCCAGGATCCTAGCAGGACCTGTAAGACAGCCCCCTCTCTCCTCCACCGCAGCAAGCCCTATCCAGCTGCAGTGCCAGGAGGCTGGGCCTCTATGTGCCATTGACCCTCAGCACTGACTGTTCGTATGCCAGTCCATAAAGCACTTCTCTGCTGCCTGCTCTGTTTTATTGTCAAAAATTCACTTTGTACTTGCAAAATTTGGGCTGCAAGTTGGATGGCCCTTCAGAAAGCCCGATGTGTCTTCCAGCTAAAGTGTTTCAAGGGCAGGAAATGGACGCTGCCTTTCTCTGAAAGCCCAGCTCGGGCACTCACTCACCCACTTAAAACTGCCACGCTTCCCTCCACTGGCCCTGCCACCACTGCTGAGGGACCGAGCCTCCGGTCCCATCTCACCTAGACATTGGGTGCTGACGCCTGCCTCTCCCAGGACTGCTGGTGAAGGTGTGCACTGGCAAGGGGCTGAGAGGTCCGGATGGCATGTGAGACATAATCTGTGCTAAGATGCTCTCATTTCAAACACTTGCAGAGTGGAGCTGACTGCAGGAGAAGTGCACTTGTTTTGGAGTTGGACGGGTCTGGATCTATTTCCTGGCTCTTCCATTGCCTGTGGGCTCTTGGGCAATACACTTATCTCTCCAACTCTCTGTCTCCTCTTGTGTAAAAGACGATGATTACGATGGGTAACATGTACTGAGCGCTGGACACATGAACTCACTTCACTCTCATGAGAACCCTGTGAGGTAGGTGTTATCATTCCCATTTTACAGATGAGTAAACTAAGGCACAGAGTAGTAGCCCACTAACAAGGGGAGGAGGTGGGACTCAAAGCCAGGCTGGCAAGAGTCTGCACCCCACAGCCTCACAAAAGTCACAGGACGATATTGCTCACTGGGTGTCCCTGAGCCTCCCCACGCAGGCCCTGGGCCTGGGGCAGAGTGTCCGCTGCCAGTGCTGGCTGAGCTAAATGAAACCGACTCAAGGGCAGGCTGCCTTAGAGGAGATCCTGGCCCTGGACCGCAAGTATTTGGCCGAGGAGCCAGGGAAGCGTCATCAAAGTCTCCTTTAAATCCTCCCAGGAGCACTCATGGCCGGGAGGGGCTGTGCCAGCAGCTGCCTTTGTTTACACCCAAGGCAGCAGCTGGGAACCTTCATTCCTGCCTCTGCTGCCCACCAGGCTGTGACCTCAGGCGTGGTCTCTGTGGGGTGAAAGGTAGCTGCTGCTTCCCATACTTGCCTGAGACCCCTCCACTGGCAGCAAGTAGAGCAGAGCTGTGACTCTGGGAGAAGAAACCCCCGTCCCCAGGCCTCAGCCACGCACGGGTCAGGGTCTGTGAGGAGGGGAGTGGAGGGTGACTGCTTTCATATAGTGCCTACTTGGTGCCACATCTTGGTGACGGTGTCACCGTCACACCCTACACACCTGCTCTAGCCCCACAGGCTCAGAACTATGACCTCCTGGGGTGGCTAAGGAAGCAGACTCTGAGAGGCTCTCATTTGCCCAAGGGTCCTCACCCAGGCCCAAGCAGAGCAGGATTCCCCAGGTGGTGGGCTTGGGCTCCAAGACCCTCCCACTCCCCAGTGCTTAGGGGGACTCCACCTCCCAGGTCAAAAGTTCATGCTCTGGCAGGGGCCTCTTAGAGAAACCCCACCCCCACCCGGCATCAGGGCTGGTCCATGGTGGGCTCCTATTTGATGGTGTTTTCCCAAACTGGTCTGACCCCAAGTTCTCACCATGGCATGGGTCACCTCCAGGCCGCCCCCAGCCTGTCCCCACTCTCACCATGGGCTGTGGCACCCAGCACATCAGCCAGGGCTGGTCCCTCCGTCACCTCACAAATGTTGGCATGTTCCTCTAGAGTTTTTATATCTTAGAGTATAATTTGCAAAAAGCAAAATGCACAGCTCTTAAGAACAGATCCCAAACATTTCACCTCAACTCTCCTTGATTCTTCCATGAGCCCTACAGGAAAATCAACATCCTTATTGCTAGCATTTACTAGGTGCTAAGAAAATGCAACACACCCTCCATGTGTTCCATGCATTAAGGCATTTATCCATGGAACCTCCCTTTAGGAAAGTCTCCTGAAAAGCACATCACAGATGAGGAAACAGCTTGTAGATACTGGAGCTGAGGACTTGCTACAAATTCTGCTCCTCCACTTACTAGCTGTGGGCTTTGAGTTAGTAACCCAGTTTATGCCTTAGTGTTCTGCATCTGCACGACGAGAATACTGTAGTTCTTACCTGAGAGTGCAGTGATATTCAACAAGTAATTCACCAAGAACCCGGAGCAAGGCCTGGCACCTGCCTTCATCCACCTCCTCATAGCTAGCACTGGACCCCCGCCTGCCACCTCCCTACCTCGGTATCTTCATCTGATGTCCTTGTCCCTGGTACTGACCCTTGTGCAGTCACACTGCTCCCCCTACCCAGGCCGTGCCACTAACCCTGGGGATGGATGGCCTGGTTACGCTGCCAGGCTGAAAACAAAGTCCTGCTCCCCCCTGCCTGGACCCCCCTGCCTGACCCAGACCATCCCCACAAGTGTTTTAACTGAAGCCCAGAGCTAGAACCACCCCCTGCCCACCCGCTGCCTCCCCCACTGTGCAGAGCCACCAACCCAGCCTGAGCCCAACTGTGGGCGCCACTAGCCCCCTTGGCAAAGCCAGGGGATCAGGCCGGCATAGCTACTGCTCGTGGAGACGTGACCGTAAGCCCCCCCTTGGCAAAGCCGGGGGGCCGGGGTCAGCTGGCAAGGCTGCTGCCCGTGGCACAGTTTCTCTCCACCTTGCTTGGCTCCCTGCCTGGAACCTGCTGTGGCTAGACAATAGGTCTCCCAAGAAAGCTAGAGAGCCTGTTTCCCTGTAGAAGGGTAGGTCATGCACCGGTGCTTGATAAACAGGGAAGTTTTGATAGCACCCTGTGTTCCCCTGTTGTTCCGTGGAGTAGCTTTGCAGAAAGGACAAAGAAACTAGCTTGGGTGCAGCCCCCTCCTGCTTATTCCCCATAATTGTAATAAAAGCCTTGAATAAACGGAGTTCGGGGCTCAGCGGGATGCTGAGACCTCTCCAACCTGACTCCCTGCGTCCTTGACTCATTTCCGCCCCCTCCCCTCTCCTGACGAGGCTGGTCCGCGGCACCCAACCCTGCCTGCCTTTCCATCCCACACTTTCCCAGACCCTGGACTCTCCTCTGCTTGGACAGCGCTGAGCGCCCACCACCCCCTTCACTCCTGCTGTAGTCAAGGCAGCTGAGACACACACTTCGGGACCCACCAGAGCTAGGTTTAAACTGGGTGCTACGCTCACTAGATGTGCATGTGGATCGGGTTTCATTGCTCGCTGAATCTCAGTTGTGTCATATTAAAATGGGAATCATGACCTACTTCATAGGACTCAGTGGATGAAATAAAATACTGTCATTTCTTGGGCAGCTGCCTCATGCCAGGCCTTGTACTATGTGCATTTAAAATTTTTATTCCCTTTAATTCTCAGGAGGGAGGGACTCTTCATCTCAAGAACACACAGTGACTAGGTCCAATCAAGAAAAGCCTTTATGGTTCTCTACAAACAGAAGCTCAACAGTGATGAGCCGCATCCCAACCCTTCCCCAGATGTGAGAGGCCACACTGGAGACGACGGGAATTTAGGGATCTCAAGTCAGATACAAAGAAACCAATGACAAAGTTGGGGGGGGGTCAAGTGCATAATGCCTCAGGTCTTGTCCAGAAAGTTAGCATTTTTGGCAGTCTGTGATCTTGGAAATGCTACCCGCCCTCACCCGTGCTCCAGCAGGAGTGGCAAGGGAGTGTGAGGGAGAAAGTGGGAGACCGCAGGAGCACCCCCAACTGATAACGAATCCGAGCCCCACACGTGGACTTGATCTGGGACTGAGACACCTCTCTAGCCCCACCTTGGTCCCCTAGGAACACCCCCGGGAAATGGAGGAGTGGATGCTCCCCCAGCCCAGCTTTCTGTGGGGCCTAAGAGTCCCCTTCAGGACAGAGCTGAAGACAAGGTTAGGGCTCACTCAGGACCATGGACACAGAGCGTGATCAGGGCCTCGAGGAATTTGGGTGAGGCCACTGGAGACTGCAGCTCTGCCCAGGGCCCCGCCCCAGCCCCTTCCCTGTAACCTGTAGGCCAGGGTGGAGACCCTCTGCTCTCCGCCCAGAAATCCCAGCACAGCCTCACCAATGCTTCGGTACCTACCTGGGGCTGCAGTCCCTGCAGGACCGACCTTGGTCACCTGCCCTATCCGAAATTTCCCCGCCTGGGCCTCATCTTCCTCTGCCCCCTCCCCACTGGGGCAGCAGCCCTATTATACCTCCATTGCTGAAGCCCTGGGCCAAGTGTTCTTCCCGAAACTGCCCCTGCCCCTGAACAGGCGAGACCACTGGGAAAGCAGGGATTCGGGGCTCCTCAGGCCTCTCCATCACTTATCATCACTGAGGGGCTCAGAGGGCAGGCCCGGTCCTTGTATTACCAAAAGGGAATGCCAGAAGGGAAAACCCATCTGAACCCCCTTCCCTGCCACCCCTCACATCTAGGACCAGGGTTCCTGCCTACTGGCCAGGAATTCAGGGCCCCTCCAAGAGTCCTGACCTCCACACCCAGCTCTCAGTCCCACCTACGTGTTGTCCCCAGCTCCTCATGCCCGGCCTGAGACAAGAAGGGGAGCAAACTGCATGACTTAAGAGGGAGAGGCCCAATCATGGTAGAGATGGAAACTTCCTTGGTGTGACATGGGTCTGACATTTTTGAAAACCAAAGTACCCTGACCCCTGGGAGCCCTCCCTGCAGCCCCCGGAGACTCACCTACCCTCCTCTTTCCTTGGGTGAGCTACCTGCTTCCCCAGGGCTTGGTCAGAGCTGCGATCCCGAGTGCTGTCTTCCTGGGACTGCCTCCTGCTCCCTCCCACAGAGGGGCCTGGAGGTCCTCTGACACCCAGTGGGGAGAGCAGAGGAGCAGCCTGCCAGGCCCCTCAGGCGGGCCCAATCAGGGGCAGGCCCTGGGCCCCTGGCAGCTGCCCCTACCACCCCATGTGGTTAGAAAAGAAGCACTGAGGGGGGCGGCAGGCGGGAGCAGTCAGGGAGCCACTCAAAAGGGCAGTGCAGTCAGGGCACCTCCTGGAGTAGCAGAGGCGTGTCTGAGTTCTGTGCTGAGACGCTGGGTGACTCAGGCCCAATGAGCCCCAGGCCATACAAATTAAGGATGGAATCAGCAATGATGCGGGCTGTACGCTTCTGGTACCCGCCTGAGGTCACCATGAGGATGGGCACCTGGTGGCCACGGACCACCCGGAACACCAGTTCGTCTCGCTTCACGATGCCCTGCGGGGAGATTGGGAAGGCTGGCTCAGACACGCCTCGATCCTCATGGTATGGGGAGGTCTTGCTACTTGCACCCACCCCCTCTCTGGTATCAGGAGAGACACCGGTGTGGTCCACCTGTCCTGCTGCTGCTGAGTCTGCAGAGCTGACCCTCCCCTGCCCTCCAGGGTCGGGACCTACCTGTGGGCTGATGGACAGTCCCCCAAGGCGGTCACCCTCGAGGACGTCAGTGCCTGCGTTGTACACCACCACGTCGGGAGGGTGCTCCTGAAGGGCTTTCTCCAGGTTCCGCTCCACTTGACCCAGGTACTCGTCGTCCTCCGTGCCCCACTCCAGCTCCACCTTCCGCCTGATGGCCTCTGAGGGGGATACAGGAACACCCGCCATGTGCAGAGAAGAGAAACTGAGGCTCAAGAGGGCAAAGATGGCCTGGGTCCCTGTCAGCGCCCAAGGCAGGACTAAAAAATGGACTGACTGCAGCACTGCTCAGGCTCTCATTTCGCCCCACGTGAGCTAAAAAGAGCACCAATAGCTGCAAAGCAGGGGCCCAAAGGGGAGAAGGGGAACTGAAGACAAAACACTCGCCCTGCAGACTCAGAGACCCGGACCAGACACCTGCTCTCACTGCCTCCACCAGCCCTTGCCCAGGCACGTGGATGCCATGTTGTGCCCTCGCGTCCAAATCCAGCACATTCAGGATTCAGGTCAGGAACTGGTCCCTTGGGCCACACGGGCCGCTGACTACCCAAAGCAAAAGTGTCCCCTACTCACAAAGTGAGCAGGTCCCTGTACTTTCACAGCTGATCTGAGCATCTCTGCCTTTAGACTGCGAAGTTTAAACTGCCTGCATTTATTTTAACAACTATTATAGTTGAACTAATTAATTTTGGCTATCTTATCTGGAATATCCTATTTATCATATTTTCCCCTTTGTTTCTCTCTCATCTCTTCCACTGACAGAGACATACCTAAGAGTCTATTTTTATCCTTCTGATGGCTACCCCCCATATAAGGACCCTCACACATGTTTATTAGGCTAATGCGACCTTGGTGGGTTAAATGACTTCTCTTGGTCTTTCCTCATCTATACAATGGGAACAATTCCCAACTTGCAGAGATGCTGCGGGTACATGAAGTGAGTTCTGCAGGGCCCGGCACACAGGAAATACGCAGGAGGGAAAACCCCATCCAGCCGAGAGTGCACTTAGGACTGGGGGACGGGAGCAGCTCACGCTTGGCAAAGCGGTCCCCAGGGTAGATGTGGCGATTGTAGACGTCCATGATGTACACGCGCTTGTCACCCATGAAGTCCCGCTCGTGCCCATTGCCCTGTGGGGGGAACATGGAAGCCACTTGCGGGCAGGTGCCCTCAGCAGGGCCAAGACCACCCCACCCAGGACCCCGCCCGCCCCCCCCCCCCCATGCCCGAGCAGTGTGGTTTGCCCTTAGAGCAGAGGATCTCACGGCTGCTAAGTGACAAAGCTGGGATTCAACCTCAAAACCTGGCCCCATGACCTTCCAGTGTGACCTTAAGCAAGCCCCAACCCTGTCATTTTCTTCTCCAGAAGACAAGGCAGGAATCCTGGCTCTACCATCTCTCAAGTCTGTAGTGGGATTGGTGGGATCAGGGATGTGAAACATAAAACTATAAAAAGCTGTACTCATGTGACTTGGTTCAGAAGCTCGATGTCACGTGACCTTAAAGCAGGGCAGCGGACCATCACAAAGCTATAGCAGCACAGGTGTGGGAGGGGCCTTCAAGAGCCTATTGATGCCCTGCCTTGTCTTTGACCAGAGGAGCCAGACCTGAGTTTCCAAGTTCTGACACTTTCCCTGCAGGCAGTTGCCTTGGAGTCAAGCAACCCTGAACTGGTGTGAGTGAGAATTTTCCTGAGGGGCTGGTCTGCGGTGCATCTCAGCCCTATGTGAAGTGACCATGGAAGCCAGGGGTTGAGAGCACAGGAACAGCACTGCTAGACTGGGTTTAGGAAGAGCCCTTGGGCTGGCCAGCAGGGGCGGTCAGGAGGAGGGAGGGAGGACCTTCAGGTTTGACAGGAGCATCGAAGAGGACCAGCCACCCTGGCTGGGCCAAGAGGGGCACAAGGAGAAAGAAGGACCCTTTGCTTCCAGCTTCTCTCTCCAGATACAGGGAGAGGGATGGATCGGGATGAAGGTGGCAGAAGTCTGCCTTGGGCCTCAGGGCTGTTCCCAGGGTTGGGAGAGTTCCACAGTGTAGGGCTGCCTGAGAGATGTTGATGGGGAGCATGCAAAGGGGGCCTGAGGAGGGGGACCCATGAGACCCCAGCCCCCACAGGGCACTCACCTGATGGGCATCGAGATCAACAATGGTGGCCCTGGAGATGCCCTCCACTCGCTCAAACAGAAACTGCCCGGGGGAGGAGAAAGAAGATGTAAGGGCCCACAGAAGACACAGCCCCTCAGGACTCCCAGATGGTGAGGGGCCAGGGCAGCAGGCCACACACACTGCGGGCCATCAGAACCAGGCTAACCCATCCCACGCCCAGCAGAGCTTGCAGCTCCAGTGAAGCATGTCTGTGAGGTCAGGAAGGCTCCCTGGAGGAAGGGGCCTGTTCTGTGCCATGAAGGGCTGGAAGTCGGGAGGTAGGTAAGCAGGGGAGTGGGGCTGGCCCTCAATGCCTCAATGACAGCCCAGGAATCCTGAGGAAATGTGTGTGGGGGGGGGGCTGCAAGAGGGGGGACCTCCCTCAAAACTGGGTCTGGAACTTTATTCTACAATCTTTGCCTTCCTACAACTCCATGTCCTCATGCCTCCTTCCCCTCCCTCCACCTCTAGGAAGGTCTGCTATGTGTCTCCCTCTCTGACGGCCAGGGTCTGCTGACCTGCCTCACCCCCACCATTAGTCTGTGTGCCCTGTGAGAACAGGGACCATGATGGCCTGATCCTGACCCAGGCTGAGGTCAGGCACAGGGTGGTCAGGGGGAGCTCTGGGGTCCGACAGACATGGAGGCCAAGGCCAGCTCTGCCCCTTCTGGCTGTGTGACTTCACCCTTCTGGGCTCCAGTTTCCTCATCTGTAATATGTGAGGATTGACTGAGGTGAGACATGGAGCACAGGAGCTGGCATAAGCTTCAGCCTACAGTTAATTCTATCAGTATTATTGTGATTATTATTATCGCTATCTCCTTCTCACTCTTCCTTAACAGTTCCCTTTATATGGTTGCTGCTTCCCCCATCCCCTGCTACTGTTGAAGACTATAATATCTCCTTCCTGTGGGGCTATAATATAACCCCTCAGAAGAGATGGTTGGATCTGGGTTTGAGCCCGAGCTTGGCTGAGCAATGCAGGAGCTTCCTCCCCTTCTGAGGCTCAGTTGCTTTCTCTATAATGTGGGGTGAGAACACAAAACCGGGAATGGCAGGGGGATTCCAGGAAGGGCTCTTGAAGGTAAGTTCCCAGGTGCTGTCCTGCGCACCTTGATGGTGAGTGTGATGTCCGCATAGGCACAGAAGCCCCCGCCCCGGTCACTGGAACAGTGATGGAATCCACCACCTACGAAAGGGCAGATGTGGTGTGGTCAGGGCCAGGATCAAGAGCTAGACCCAGGTGCACCTCCGCCCCCTGGCCGCCCACGGGGCCCTTCCTGCTCAGCTCCCAGGAAGATCTCCTGGGACTCCAGGTTGGAAAAGTGAACTGAGTGCCTGGATATGTCACCATCCCCAGGTCAGGAGGCAGCTCTGCCAGCACAGCCACCCAGTGTCAGAGAAAGAAACCCCTTAGGCTGTCCCAACAAGTTGGTCCCAACGCCCACTCACACCCCTCAGGGGACAGGAGCTCATCCTTCCTAAGGTAGTGAGTCCTCCTGCCAAAAAAGAGTGGTGGGGCTCTGGGAGCAGGTTCACCTTGGGACCACCCAGATTCTGCAGGGTGGTGGAAGGGGATATCAGACAGGGCACAGTCTGCTGGTCATGGCTGCCCGTGGCAGTGGTGAGGGCCCCGGAGGCCGTGGTCCAGCCCCCTTTACCCCTCAACCCCAAGACCACAGCCTCAGAGCCTCAGTGACCGTGAAGCCCATTCCTCCGCAACCCCTATGAGAACCTGACCTGCAGAGCTTCTGAGGTTGAGCCCCACACTGCCTCGCCTGGCAGTATGAAGCCAGGGCCCGCAGATGCTGGGACTTGCCTCTTGCACCACCTAAGAGGCGGTCATTGGATCATAAGGATAACAGTCCACAGTGAACTCCTAACCAGGCACCAAGTTCATTGAAGTCTCTGTATAGCCCTAGCAGGCAGCATTATCATCGTCATCTCCACTTTAGATTCAGAACCTGAGGCACAGAGAGGGTCAGCAACTTGCCCTATGTCACACAGCTAGCTAATGGCAGAACGAAGATCCGAACCAAGGGATGGACCAGGATCTGGGCTCTTAACCTCTACCGGGCCGTAACACCTTCCATAAGGAAAGGGTCTGGGTCCTCTTGGGAACCCTATAGACACCCATGGCAAGTGTTGTCACTCATTCATTTGTTCAGGAGAGGATCATAACATCACGGTTCAGCCAGGCCTAATGATGGGTACCTGGACATACCAAGGTGGAAGAGACCCAGCCCCTGGCCTTCCAGTGCTCACAGTCCTAGGTGGGGCTGGGGAGGAGCGATGGGGCTCTGAGCAAGCCAGCAGGCCTCTCTCAAGGTCCATGTTCTCATTAAAAAAAACTGGACTGGACAATAACACCCAGTTCAGACGAGAGGCTGGACAGAACAGGGCTTCACAAACTGTGACATGCCAAGCCTTCGTGAGGGGCACTGGCAAGGGTGAAGAAGACCATGGGTGCAGCCCTCCCATGAGCCAATCTTGTGGGAGAAACCAGGGGGCTGAGGAATGATGGCCCTCAAGGCCCCTGAGAACAAAGTGATATTGGTCCTGGGCCTGTCCACCCACCACGACATGACCACGCCCCTGCAGACTGTCCTGGGCCCCAGAGGTTGATAGAGCCTTTTGGGGGAGCTGCTGAAACTCTGCAGGTTTCATTCCCATGCAGGGCTGTCTACGGATGGTACAGGCTTTCTAAGAGAGAGTGAGTTCCCCATCACTGGAAGAATGCAAAGACGGGACTGGAAAGCAACCTGGAGAACTCTTTTAGACAAAGATTCCATGCCAGATGGAGGCATAGACTGGCCCCTCTCAGACACTGGAGCTTCTGAGCTCACTGTTGCTTCCACCAGGTCCCTTTGGGCCCTCCCAGCCCCCAGGCCTTGACTGGCCAGCTCCCCCATGCGGGGCACTTACCCACATTGATGGCCCAGCCTCGCTCCACTGCCAGCTTCCCTGCCTGGGAGACAAGCACAGGGTGAAGGGCAAGGCAACCCTCTCCACTTACTCCTCACTCATTCACTGACTCACTCATTCAGCCCATAAACAGTGCTTCTGGCCAGCTCTGAGGTGAGGCTACAGGAGGCATCTGCCCTGGGCCAAAAGCAGTCCCAGCAGCAAGTACCAGATGGGTTGGTGCACAGGATGAGCAGTGCATGATCCCCTTTGCAATTTTGTGAGAAAACTAGAAGAAACATAAACTGACAATGACTTTCATGGGGCTTTCAAAGAGAAAAGAGACAAGTTTCTGCTCATGGAAATATAGTAGACTGAATGCTGACATCCCATAGGAAATCAAAGTTTGGGGCATGCAGTAATACTCTAATACACTAAAAAGACATACACATTTGCAAGCTATATAAGGATCAATAGGTATTTATCCAGGTGTGAATTAGACCATTGACCAATAAGATCTGTAATGTTTCTGTGGCTAATTTTAAAGAAAACTACACAGAGGACAGGAAACCTGATTTTGCCAGGAGTGTTTATTGCCACACCCATGATGGGGAGAGAGGGAACTCCATCCATCACTGAAGTCACCGGGGGTTTGCTTTTCCATCTTAAATCTGATACATTGGAGCAATTGTTTTAGGATAGATCTCTGGGGGTTAGGGGTAAATCTTATATACCAACAAATACAGTAACCCAACTGGAGCTCCCCAGGGGAAAAAACAAGGAATTCCAATGTCCCGGGGCGGGGAAAGCTTTGAGAGACTCATTACTGCTGGGCTTTGAGGAATATTTAAGATTTTGTTCAACTACTATGTGGGAGGAGGGCATTCCAGATGGAGCAGCCAGGATGGGCAAAGACCCAGAGGTGGGAAGGAACCAGGTGGAAGGGTCGCCAGCCCAGCCTGCATCCCACGTGCCTCCTCACCTACCATTATGGTTCCTCCTGTCTGGATCCGAAGGGGCTTCAGCACCTTCCTCTGAACAAGGAAGTTGGGGAGAAAGATGAGAGGGGGTATTTCTGTGATGGTGGCGACAGCAAAGGACCACTGTGGAAAGAGACGCAGACCATTGGCCTCCCACTGCCGCACTCAGAGCTCGGAGGCAGCAGCTGGAAAATCAGATTTCCTCTAACGCCAATTTCAAAGTGCCTTGGGCAAACTCTGGGTCAAGTGCAGTTACTCTAGTAAGAAACGAGAACCCCACACAGGTCTGGATCCCACCGAGCTTTGGGCTAATAAAGAACAGTTTACACAGCTTGTTTTCTAACAGCTCGGTTGGAACACGTCCCTTAGCGCTCCAAAGCCCGTGGCTGCCCTCTTGTGCCCCACACAAGAGCTGAGGAGGACTCCGACTTGAGAGGTGCGGGCCCAGAACAGGCCCATCCCACTCACTGCACAGAGGAGGACAGGGAGGATCTTTCTTGCCGAGGTCACACGCTGCCTCACTGACAGAGTCCAGGCGTCCTGCTCCCCCAGCAAAGCATGGCCTCTTTATCCACTGAGAACCGGACCTCCTTTGAGGAGAGGCATCCCGCCCCTCTCCCATTAGAGGCAGAAGGAGTTGGGGAACCTAAAAGGCATATGTACCAGAGTAAGGACACAGCTTTTCCTGTGACCTTATTCCAGTGACCTCCCAGGTTCCTGGCAAATGTCCATGTACCCAGTTCCTGAACCATCTCCTGCCTGGCTGAGAATGCACCTAGGCCCAGGCTCCCTGCTCCTACTGACTGCAGGTGGAGGCCAAGAAGGCCCAGGTTTCTTCTAGGCATAAGGTCCCAAGGTGGGGGCTGGACCACTTCTCCTGTCAGGATGCTTTTTGTAGCCAACTGTGAAAGTGCTTATATACAATGGGACAAGCACTGCGATGAAGAACATGGTCTGAGCAAGGTGGGGGCAGACGGGCTTTCCGGGGGTACTAACATACATGAGAGCAGAGACCAAAGGTGAACAAGTTAGCCAGTTGTAGGGGTCAAGGTAAAAAAGTTATTGTGGGTGGAAAAGAAGCGAGTCCCCATGTTCAATGGAAGCTGAGCAGAGCTGGGACACACAGGGCTGGTCTGCCAGCGAAGGCTCTCGAGCACGTCAGAGCCGTAGGGAGACTGACAGCACTTCCCACGCTGCTGTGGCTGACACAGGAGAACCGGTCAGGGGACTGAGAAGAGCAGCAGCAGCCCCAGGAAGGAAGTGAGAGATAATGAGGGTTTGGGGAAGGTGCGATGGGGAGAGTTAACAGACAACAGATGAATGGAGGTGTCTGGATGCGAGGCCAGAACCCCAGCACTCCAACACTGAAGGGCAAAGGCCAGGCTGGAGTTCACTGGGATGAAAAAGGGCTGTGTGGGGACCAGAAGGGTGATGGGGAATGGGTGGTGGGGGACAGCGGGTGCTCAGGCGGCCAGCCACCAAGAAGGTTTCAGGAAGGAGTGAGCAAAGCCAGGTGTTGAGGCAGCCAAGGCACCCAATGACAGAGAACTAGGGGGGAAGTGTGGCCGCTGTGATCGCCAATCAGGAGAGAATTAGGGATTTAGGCCTGGAGAGGCCTGAGGAAAAAGCATGTGCCTGGAAAGGGCCAGGAAGGTGTGGTGGCAGTGGAGGAGGGCACTCATGAGAGGCTGGGGCAGCAGGACGGGACAAATCAGTCCACAAATGGGCTACTGTGGCTTAGGTCACCGGCCAACAGGGGAGACATTTTGTCGGATTGCCTGCACCGCCACTGAACACCTGTGTGGTCACCCCTTCCAGGATGGCAAGGCTGAGAACAGCTGAAGGCTGGGCAAGCTTGCTCTGCTCCCTCATTCAAGCAAGCAGGGCCTACAGGACCTGGATTACGTGTCTTGAATGAGAGGTGTCCATCCAGCCTTCCCCAGGCCCTGGCCCTCTGGCTGCAACATGGAGGCACCATGGGCCTGGAGGGGGTGGTGGCAGAGCTAGGACACGCTGCGCAGCTGCGAGACCCACCCCTGTGCACGTGTATTGTGCTCTCATATCTGTGAAGCGGCAGTGGTGTGAGACAGGACGTGGGGCTTCTAAGCTGGAGACTGAATTTTACAGGGGCCAAGCATAAGGTCACCAGAAGCACATATAGGATTCAACCACAGGGACCGGCTTCCACAGGACAAGCCACCCATCTGTCCCTATTTCTTGACTTCTGGCCAGGAAAGACAGGGCTAGGCCCTCATCTCGGCCCAGACATGGTTCCTGTGCAAGGCAGTGCTGCAGCTTGCTGACGCTCTAGACCTGAGCCAGCCAATCTAGGACCTGCCAGCCACACAGAGCTACTTACATATAATTTTAAGTTACTTAAAAGTTTAAAAAATTTTTAAATTAAAATTTTGTTCCTCAGTCACACAAGCAATATTTTAAGTGCTTAATTGCCACACATGGCTACTGACTACTGGACTGGACAGAGTCCTTCTAGAACATTTCCATCACTGCAGAACGTTCTGTTGGATATAACTGCCCTAGAAAAAAACATCAGTGGCCACAGTGAGAAATAAGCAGAGAGACTGGGGCGACTGAGGGGTGACAGACGCTCTGGTGCCAGGAGCAGATACTTTATCTGGGAGGTGCAGTAGGCTGGAAGGGGCCCGCCCAGATCTGCCTGCAGCCTGGCCCCAGGCAAGGGCAATGAGGGGCAGGCTGGATCAGAGCAGGAGAGGGACTAGGGACAGGGCTCTTAAGTCTTCCTCAGTCACGCTGGTTCAACTCTGGGCTCTGCCACTGCTGTATGCCTTTGGGCATGGCCCTCTACTTACCTGTGCCTCCTGTCTCCTCATCTATGAAACAGGAACTCCTCCCAACTAGGCCTGGAATGAGGAGCCACTGGAGAGGTCTGTACTCACTGCCCAGTGTAAAGTACCCCAACCTGAGCTCCCCTGACCCCTGCCTTTGTTTCATCTTTGTGCACAGCATTTGTCTCTACCTGACAATAACAACAGTTCTATGTCAGCTCTCCCAACAGGACACCAGCTCTGGCAGAGCAGGTACATGCTCTTTCCTGCTGCATACGATGCCTGGAACAAAGTAGGTGCTTGTTGCTCGTACCTGCAACACCCCCCAGATCCCTACCTGCACCTCACCTGAGAGAGCCACCTGTTTTATCCCAGGAGAGCCTGTAAGAGCTGGCCTCCAGCTCCCAGGACACACACCATGGGCTCAGGCTGAACCCACATGTAGGCCCAGCTTCTTCCCCTGACTTCTCTGCCTCCCGCCCTCTCTTCCAGGTTTCACCTGGAACCTTGTACCACATAAATCCCTGCTGCAGGCGCTGTTTCTAGGGCTGTGCTTCTCCAAATGTGGTTCCTAGACCAGCAGCAACAGTGGCCCCTGAGAGCTTGTTAGAAATGCACATTCTCAGGCCCCACCCCAGACCTCCTGAATCAGAAACACTGGGAGTGGGGCCCAGCAATCTGTGTCATGACAAGCCCCCTGGAGAATCTGATGCTTAAGGGAACTTGATCCCAGTGTTGAACCTATGAGGTTTATCCCGGCCCGATACCCACTGCCCACCAAAGGGCACGGCCCAGGAGCGTCCCTATTCCAGAGCATGGTCATATGTCAGGGCCTCCATGCACAGGCAGCCTTTTGGTAACCCCACAACGCTGCACTGCTCTCCCGCTGCCTGACTTCCTCAGGTGGACCCCCACCCTCAGAGGTCCAAACCAACAACGGCTCTCAGGGAGGAGACTGGCTGCAACCCCACTCGGAACCCCAACTGCTTGGTTTGGGTTAGGACTTTCCCGCAGTGGAAGTGGAAGCAAAGGGAGAGAAGGGAAAAAATCCCACATTATCATCTTAGTTGATGGGAAAAAAAAAGCCTCTGACAAAATCCAACACCCTTTTATAAAATTAATCAATAAGTTAGGAATACAAGGGAACTCCCTGCACATGACAAAGGGAATCAATCCCATAGCTAACAGCACACTCAATGGAAAGTCTTTCGCACCTAAGATCAGAAACAAGGCGTGGATGACTGCTTTTGCCACTTCTATTCAACTGGAAGTTCCAACCAGAGCAATGAGGAAATACAAAGAAATAAAATGCCTCTACATTGAAAAGGAAGAAGTAGAATTTATCTCTATTCACAGGTGGCACAGTGCTTTATATAGGAGATCCTAAAGAACAAACATGACACCCCCCCAATTAAACTTAAGAAATAAATTCAGCAAAGTTGCAGAAGATCAGCACATAAAAAGCAGCTGTATTTCTACACACTAACAACAAACAATTCAAAAATAAAATTATGAAGATATTCCATGCAACAATATTTTTACAGCTATGTCCCCTAGGGCAAGGGGTATAAAGGAAGAACTAAAAAATGGGACTTCATCAAGTTAAAAAGCTTCTGCGCAGCTAAAGAAAACATCAGCAAAATGAAAAGAGAACCAACCATATGGGAAAATATATTTGCCAATAAAACCTCAGACAAGGGTTTGCTCTCCAAAATATATAAAGAACCCACACAACTTCACACCTGGAAGATAAACAACCCAATTAAAAAATGGGCAAAGGACCTGAACAGACACTTCTCTAAGGAGGACATACAGAGGGCCCAGAGACACACGAAGAGATGCTCAGCATCACTAGCCATCAGAGAGATGCAAAGTAAAACTACAATGAGCTACCGCTTCACACCAGTCAGAATGGCCATCATTAATGAATCAACAAACAACAAGTGCTGGTGAGACTGACAAAAAGGGAACCCTAGTGTGCTGTTGGTGGGAATGCAGACTGATGCAGGCACTATGGAAGAGTATGGGATTTCCTCAAAAAAACTAAAAATGGAATTGCTTTTTGACCCAGCAATTCCGCTGCTGGGATTATACCCTAAGACTCCTGAAACACCAATTCAAAAGAACCTGTGCATCCCAATGTTCATAGCAGAGCAATTTACAATAACCAAGTGCTGGAAACCACCTAAGTGTCCACCAGCAAATGAGTAGATCAAAAAATTGTGGTACATTTACACAATGGGACACTATGCAGCAGAAGGAAAGAAGGAGCTTCTACCCTTTGTGACAGCATGGATGGAACTGGAGAGCATTACA